GATCAGGTCGCCCCTTACAAAACCAGCTGCAGTTCCAGTGCCTCCAGTTCACCCTGGCTGAACAACCAGATTCTTGAGCTTAGACGCTCCTACAGAAAAGCGGAACGACGGTGGAAGAGGACAGGTCTGGTTGTTCATCGTGAATATTTTAAAGAACTTCTCGAGTCATACAACGAAGCTGTAGAAAACGCCGGGTCTTCTTTCTTCAGCAACCTCATATGTCAAAATAAGAATAATCCTAAGGTTTTGTTTGATACCATCTCCAGCATCGTGTCTTCTCCTCCGCAGCAGGCTCAGCTAGCTTCAGCTGATGACTGTCAAAGTCAAAGTTGTCTTTATTGTCATTTCTACCACATGTGCGGGACATACGGAGAAACAAAACTGAGTTTCAGCACACACAATTCAGAGATCAGACATACGTGGGTAAGACACATGACAAGAATTGGTGACTGCGGTCATTCGCAACATGAGTCGCGCTACCTTAATAGATAGATGAAAAGGGTGTTACATGAGGATAAGTGGGGGTAGGTAAAAAAAAGGCATAGCAGAGTTAGCCCCAGCGGGGAGTAACTCTATTATACAAAAAAACTCCTTGACATAGAAGAACAAACAGCACAGATACAACATCAGAGTCTGATGGGGAGGCGGGGATGGGCGGGATCCTGAAGCCTCCAATGGGAGCTGCCACTGCGGCGCATCAACCAGCTGCAGACCGACAGGTGGGAGGAAGAGATAAGGAACAGAGAGCATATTGAAGTTCCTGCAGACATGTCAGTCTGAAGGAAGAGGGTGAAGGTGGTGACACAGCATCTGTCGGCATTCCTCCTTTCATGGGGGTGTGTTGAGGCAGCCTTGAGAGGCTGCTATGGCGTCAGATAAGGATAAACATGACTTTGTTTAGGGCAGGCAGAGATAATTTTCCTCTCCGCCTTGGAGTCTATAAGTGGTCATTCATGTCCACCAGTGAAGCCAATTTTATGTGTTCTAAACATCTCCACATCGTCCAGTGACCCTCTCCGAGATCAAATCCATCTTGCGCACTAACACAGGCAACGCCGCGAGGACATTATCCAGCTTACGGTTCACCTCGAGTAACGTCCCAGGCTGTGAGGTCACCGCCCGAGCGGCACATTCCATGGGTACGGGTCGCACTCCAATCGCTCCCGTCTTCCCAAATCTCCAGAAAACCAGATATCCTCCCACTCCAATCAGAAGAAATCCAGTGATCATCAGGCCGAACATCCACAAATCTTCCACGTCCTCGATGGACAACTGAGAGAGGCACACGATCCGCCAGGCCTCCCAAGAATCGAGTGCATATCCCGCTGCGAATGTCCCCTCGGGACAGGTGGGAGCCCCCTTCTCCATTCTCATAGTAGAAAAAATGTTGTCAATCGCGTTGAATGACCAGTTAATTAGGTCCATATTTCCAAAAGAGTAGTGGTTTCAGGAGAAATGCAGAGAAGTGCTCTGTAGGCAGACAGGACAAGAGCCTTGGGGAAGCCGATAAGGGAGCTGAGATAAAAGCGTCTGTACTCTCTGAAGGCTGTAACACCTTTCTCAACTTTTTTGCAAACAAGGTGCTGAATCTGAGATCCAGCATTCCACCCCCCCACCCCCACCCCCCAGGAGGGGAGGCCCCCCGGTGCTCCGAGTCTTTCACCTCCTTCTCCCCAATTACACTAAATGACTTAACCTCAATAATCAGTCAGATGAAGCTCTCATCATGCTCATCAGATATCTTACCTCTCTCTGTTTTAGTCGGTCCCTTGCCTCTGTCAGTCCATCTCTGTTGACTATGATCAACAGCTCACTGAGCCAAGGCTGTGTTCCATCTTACTTTAAAAATGCAGTAGTGACTCCTCTCTTAAAGAAACCCAACCTTAACGCCAGCTCCACCAGTAACTTTAGGCCCATTTCTGAGCTACCTTTCATCAGCAAAGTACTTGAGAAGGTTGTTGAAACCCAACTCAGATCCTGGTTTTCTAAGTCAAAGATCTCTGACCCCTTCCAGTCTGGCTTTCTGAAGCAGCACTCAACTGAGACTGCTCTAGTAAGGGTGCATAATGACCTCCTGATGGCTGCTGATGCAGGGAAATGCTCTGTCATGGTCCTGCTTGACCTCAGTGCAGCTTTTGACACTGTAGACCACAACGTTCTACTAAACAGGTTAAATGCCCTGGCTGGGATTTCAGGTTCTGCTCTAGACTGGCTCTCTTCCTATCTCACCAACAGAACATTCACAGTGAAGTCCGAAACCTTCTCTTCAGATACTGCCTCTCTAACATGCGGGGTCCCACAAGGTTCAGTTCTAGGGCCTCTACTATTTGCATTCTATATTCTTCCCCTAGCTGGCATCATTCAGTCTTTCCCAGACATCTCCTACCACATCTACGCTGATGATATTCAGCTCTATATGTCCTTCATGCCACACCAGTTGGACAGGCTGGCCAGTTACTGATCTGGGTCAGGCAAAGCTGTGTTCAAGAAACTGCATGCA